CGTTTTCCTAAGGCACGGGAAAAGAAGAGCATCAAATTCTTCGTTCTTGCTCATGGTGGAGCAACATCAGTAGGGCAAAAATGTCGGTAGAATCAAAAAAGTAGTGTTCCTCTTAAGCACTTGACATTCCGTGTAACCCAATCTCTCACGGCTTCAACAGTTTTTGTTTACACGCAGCACGTGGTAAGGTCCATCTGTTCTTCTACGACTTGATTTGTGTGGCGACAATTTATACTTTTGAACACTGGGAAACAGTAAACCTAGTGCAACGATAGAGTGCTCTGCAATGAAATAAGCATGTATTTTTACAATTTAAGATTGGTCAACCAGTGTACTCATCCTTCAATGTCAGTTATTGGCTTCCCTAATGAGCAGACGCAAAGCTGTTAACACAATATTTATTTCACACTGGCCATTGTTTGGGCGTGTAATACTAACTTAATGCGATGTTTTTCTTCAAAAGCAGACACAAGGTTGTTATTATAGAATTTATTAGGATACACCACGGATCTCCTTCACATGAGGAATCTCGAGCCGATTAGTCGCGAGGCTATGTGGCGCGTCCCCAGGTGGCCGATAGAGTGTTAATCGCGGACCAAAAGCGACCTTTACCTCCCTGAGACGCAGGTAGACCCAGAAGATGTATTCCCCGTTTCTCCAGCGCTGATTGCGCACATACTTTCTGTATTTGCTAGGCGCATTCATGCATGAGTGTGTGGGTACGTTCTTGCTTACGCGGATTGTATTCTACGAGTCAATTCGGCCAAAAGCCTGCAATCAAGTGACTGGGAAGTATATGGGAGGCTGTTAGGAGTCGCCTCCAACAAATAAGCTCCATGTCCACTCTGGAAGAGCCTGGCAAGCTACCCGTGAGTATACCCAGCCCCAGTTCAGAACCCAGCAAGCTATACGTGGGTATCAAAAATGCTAAACGCAGTAAAAAAAAACGAGCCTCACTCGCCTGACCCTGAAAGAGCCCCCAATTTCGCAGCGCAGCGCAGGACGAGAGAGGCTTCCAAAATTTCAGGGCCAATGAAAGCTGCCTGGATTTCAAAGAACTATAGTGACGATTTGCACCTACAATGCACGTACACTTGTATCCGAGCCCTCGATAGAAGATTTGCTCATACAAGGAAAAAGGATAAGGTACGACGTCATCGGCCTGGCCGATACGAGAAGACGCCAGCCTTTCAACGCCGTCTATGGCACCGGAGAAGAACTGTTTCTCGGAACATGTGACAGTAGAGGAGTCGGCGGCGCCAGCGCTCTCGTCAACACGAGTTTGTCCGTGAACGAAGTCGATTCATTCGAAGAACTTACAACCCGAATCGCACGTTTACGATTAAGAAGACATGGGACAGTTCGGCTTTGACAGTCTTCGTCGTTTACGCGCCGACATCAAACTATGACGAAGAAGAAGTCGAAGCGTTCTGTATGGATTTGGAGAAGGTCTACAGAGAAGACCACACATTCTTCAAGGTTATCATGGAAGATTTCAACGCCAAGATTGGACCAAGAAGAATGTCTGAAAAAGGTCACATTGGGATCCACGGATTAGAATGGAACGAACATGGTGAGCTGCTCTCTGAGTTTATCATGACGACCAAGACAATCCATGGTAACTCACAAAAAGCTCCCACCCATAGCGCTGGACGTGGAAGTATCCCATTGGAGAGTACCATAATGAACTAGACCACATCATAGTAAATAGAAGGTTTTCCCTAATCGATGTGGCTGTTGTCCCAAAATTCTACATGGGATCGGACCATCGCCTTCTTCGTGCAAGATTATATTTCTCGCCGAAAGGAGAAAAAGCCGCTAAATTCCAAAACCGAAGTCCCAGAAGCACCGCAGACTGGGATTTATTCAAATCATTAGTCGACTGTTGGGAAGATGCCGTTGTCGATAACATCGACGAAGAATACGATCAGCTCATTCAACATCTTCGCGCTAGCGCTATGAAAGCTCAGAGTTCGGAAGTCACCAAGAGACGTCTGCCTCCAGAAACACTCGAGCGCATGCGTCAGTGTGGAATAACACGAGCGGTAGGGTACTACCATCTCACGTTGGCGCCTGCAAAACGGTGCAAGCAAGAGATAAAAGAGATAAAATAAGATCTTTAAAAGAGAAGAGAGATAGTCATGTATGAAGGTGCACAGGTGGGGAAAAACTTTCGCAAAGTCCACCGAGGCTTCGTCAATTACAAGACCAAAATGATTGCTCTCCGGCGCCGAGACGGAACAGTTACAGCGTCCAGAAAGGCAATGGAGAAATTCATTCATGAATACTACTCGGATTTCTTCGACAGCCACGTCCACCTTTCGTCATATGAAATAAATGTGGATAGATATGTTGTACCACCGGTTCTCCCTTCCGAAATCCGACATGCTGTTTCGCCGGTGAGAAATTGAACAGCACCAGTTCCAGACAGGCTAAGACCAGAACACCTGAAGAACCTTCCGGCAGTCCTCGTAAACACACTGGCTCAGCTCTTCACACGTTACCTGTCTGAATGCAAGGTCCTACTCAGTGGAAAACCAGCAGACCGTGTTATTGTTCAAGAAAGGTGACCTGCACGATATCGGCAACTATCGCCCAATCTGCTTGCTGTCTGCCATCTAAAAACTTTTCACTCGAGCCATCCTAAACAGGATTGACAGAACACTGGATGAAGGACAGCCATGTGAGCGAGCAGAGTTTCAAAGAGGATTTAGCACGATTGACCACATCCCCACGGTAGCACGGCTCATTTAAACATCGCGAGAGTACAGAAGACCGCTCTGCCTCACTTTCATCGATTTACAGAGGGCCTCTGATTCAGTTGAGATGGAAGCAGACTTGGAAGCCCTTGATAGTCAAGGAGTCCCTACTCAGTGCTTAAAGATTTTTCGTGAGCTGTACAAAAATTTCACAACCAAGATTTCACCATTCTACAACGATATTAGCATTAACGTTAAAAGAGGTGTTAGGCAAGGCGATACCATCTCGCCGAAGTTATTTACCGCCACTCTCCAGAACGTCATGCGAACATTCGAATGGGATAATATGGGAGTGAAAATCGATGGTCGGCAGTTACATCATCTTCGTTTTGCTGATGAAATCGTCCTTATAACACCAAACATTAGTCAAACGTAACGAATGTTTGCCGGCTTTGATAAAGCCTGTGGAAAAATTGGTCTTCGACTAAATCTCTCAAAAACGATGTTCATGAAGAACGGATTCGTTTCGCATGCCCCATTCACGCTCAACGGAACGAATATCTCCGAATGCTCCAGTTATATCCATCTAGGTCGGGAAATCAATATGATGAACGACCTAGCTCCAGAGCTCAGCAGAAGAAAACGAGCGGCTTGGGGAGCTTTTAAGAGCATCGGGGATGTAGTGAAGAGAACAAAAAACACCTGAGTCCGTACCCATCTTTTCGACTCAACGGGACTTACTGCGTTAACGTATGCTTCAGAAACCTGGTCGCTGCGTAAACAGGATGAAAAATCCGTCAGCGTTATTGAAGGCGCAGTCGAAAGGGCGATGCTAGGAATATCCCGTTTCACACGAGTAAGGGAAGAGATCCGAAGCCCCGACCTGCGTCAAAGATCAGAGATCAAAGATGTCGTTCTGTACGCAAAACTGTCGAAGATAAGGTGGGTCTAACAGGTAATTCGTATGAACAACAACCTATGGGCAAGAGCCGTTAGTGATTGGATTCCTCGGGATTTCAAACGTACTGCAGGAAGACCACCGACCAGATAGTCAGAGTTCTTCACAAAGAGCCTTGAAGATAGATATGATGCTCGACGAGTCCATAGAGCGAGCAGAACCCACTGGGCTACTCTGGCACGCGACAGGGAAAAGTGGAGGATTTACTGGCGCCCGCTCGAGTCACTCGCCGATCAACGATACTACGGGTGATACAGGTGATTAGGATACAATAGCTGATGTTTCGGCGGTTTCGTCTTCGTCAGAGCCGTTTATTTGTTGTAAGTATCTAAGTTAGTTGATGGATAGCAGCCGCACAGAGTAATACATGGGCGATAACTCTGAAGAAGGCGAAACCGCCGAAACATCAGCTATTGTATCCTTATAAACTCTATAATAACAACCTCGTGTCTGCTTATTGAAGAAAAACATCGGGTTATCAATCAATGCCAAGGTTAAAAGAAAGTCGGTCATGAGAATTAGTAACTTAATGATTAATGCTTAGCCTATTATGAAGTCGATTATGGGAATTAAATACTGAATTCCGCCAAAACTATATAAAACGCTGACTATTTTCAAAGTCTTCTCATTGTTTTATTACTTTCCACAATTTCGGAAGTGCATCGTTACACTTTTATAAAGGTAAACACACTTCTGCTTCAACCTTAGAAGCCGTTGCCACACGTGTCAAATTATTTTCCCTTTCTTTCGGAATTGAAGAGAATCGATACTAGACCGTCTTTGTAACATAGCGTTTTTTTAAGACAAAACAATTTTTTCCTCTAGTACTTAACATTTCTAATTTTCAACATTAAGATAAGATATAAGAGGGCGTGTGGCGCATTGGTCGGAGGTGCACTGCAACACACATGTGGAATCGATCCCCGCGACCAATGCTCACCAAGCCTTCCATCCCTCCGGAGTCGGCAAATTGGTACCAGACCTGCCTGGGAGAATAGCAGCACTGGCTCGATACATCGGAAGGCCACCGCGAGTCATTTTACAGACCAGATATGCATTCATTCAACTGCAAACGATCCTCAATGAAGTCGAATGCATGGCGCATCCCTCAGGGATTCATCAATGCCGAAAGCTCTTGAGCTTTAAGATAAGATATAAAATACTAAGGTAGATGACATACTAAGATTAAAGTTAAGAGAGCTAACAATTTCTTCTACGCTTTAATGCCGATTGATAGAGGAGTAAAGTAATAGATACTGTGAAGTGAAATGAAGAGATTACAAAGACGTGCTTTACAGTAGAATTTGTGGAATGAAATGACCCTACTAGGAAGCTTTTGCAGGATGCGTATGTGCCGTGCGATACTGACGGCGGTGTTCTGGTACGTCATCGTGCGCCTTTGTGGTTTTGACAGGAAGAAAAATCAGAAATGGACAGCGTGGTTCGTCGGCTTCTCTACTTCACATCTACTTATGAACTACAATTTTCGTCCAAAAATACCACTGAAGTCCCTGGAGGAGTACAAACGGGAAGCGTACTGCTAATTCTCCTACTTCTATCATTGACTATATTTCTAATGTACCTATGATAAATCTCCGTAGTTCTCATTTTAGTGGTGTGTTCTTGCCGATCCATTGTGCTTTGGCTGCTTATTTTCTTCCTTTCTCATAACATCGTCGATCCGTCAAAGCTTAACGCGAAACTATTCCTAACCACGTTCCTACGTGATAGTCTCATATATATTCTTCAATATGGTACATCCATTACCACTAGAAGAAATTTTATCTTTGAACGACTTACAAAAAACCTATTATTAAGTGATTTGAAAGTAAAATTATTCGCTGTTTTCTTAAAAACACATGAAGATGACGTTTTTGGTATGCTAAAAACAAAATAGGGAAAGAATTCTTAAAAAAATAGGAGGTAATTTGGAGAGCAGTTTTTCTCTGTTTGCGACAGAATTTCCTTTACGTTATCAAATATTTCATGCCCAAATTTCAGTCACGGAAATTTGAATGAGTAGAACGAGATGTTGATGGATAAAGAGATAAAGCAATCGGAGTTGTTCGCCTCTTTAGAGATGCGCATGCATTCGACTTCCTTAACCACCGTGGAGGTGACCCAGCACATATTTGACCTACACAAATGTCCGAGTCTAACGGGATCTAACATGCGCGCTTGTGGGGTGGCGGTTGAACGTGTCCTGGTTACGCACTGGATCTTCGGTAATTTGATATCGCGCCCAGGTCACACCAAAACTTCTATCGCTTCGAGGTCGGAAAATCTCTAGCAAAGTTCTCTGGAAGGATGAAAACTGGTTTGATACATCTGCAGGCCCTCGCTAGTCGCTGCATGAGTGAAATTTGCGTTCCATCATCTCCTGAAAGATTTTATGGGTTTCTTGTATGTAATTCCACTTGAAGTTTCTGAAAAAATAAGTTTTTGCCTTCCAAATTTTAATTGTGGTAGTATTGGAGTACTAAATTTCTGTAAGAGGATGACTTCATTGATCTAAGAGTTCTTCTAAAAACTTTACTACAACTTTCTAAGAAATACTACTTGTTCGAAATTCATTATTGCCAACGTGCACATGACTTCGATAGGTTTATTGTCCTTTGCAACAAGTTTAAACAGTAACACGTCACATTTGTATCGGCTTGTGGAAACGCGATGCATGAAGATTGCCCAATCAACAAAATGCTCGACGGGTAGACAATGAAATCCAGGCTGATAAACTACTTCACAAGTATGGATGCTTTCTTAAAAGGTCAGATTTTGCAAGTATTCCATGTTCCTGTAAGAATGTAAACATTTGTGGAAGCGTAAAGGTGTGATACTTAGATATTCAGCAACATTAACAAATCACAATGCATTTATTCCGTTGCACGTTCTTCTATAAGTTGCGTTGCTAGCCAGCTTGTATTAGACACTATTCCTACAATATCCGTTTCTTAACCTTTTTATTTACTGCCTATTCTTTTTAACGGCAGGGTATTTTGCGAAATATAACTATATAATGCTGAGAAATTTGCGAAACTCCGGACCGCAGGTGTCTGCGGATATCTGATTTCGTCCGGGAACGGAAGCCATCCAAACGGGGAGCGTTGCAGGCTAGAAAATACGGTTAATGACGAAGTACTTCGTACTCTAGTCGAGTAGGATCCACGTCAAACGGCCTGAAAACTTGCGACAGTGTTTGGAGTCAACCTTTGAAACGTACAATTTTTATTAAGCATTTAAAATCTACATTCTACAAGATCTACGATAAACTCTTACTGTGACTGTATTGAAACAATCTAAATTATCTGTTGCGTTGGCTGCATGCACTTCTCAGCTGTTTGGTAGGCATTCTAGCAGATTTGAAGCCATAGCGTCTAGAGAATTGTTTATAATAGCCAGCACAACATTCTTTCACTGCTGGCCGATATCTTCTAGGATATGGCAACTTGATAATTTAGGTATTTCCATTCCGTTCGTTTAAATAGAACTGGGATAAATTAGTCTTTAGATCCATGCACCTGCACTTTCCGTGCATTGTCACAGTAGGTCCTCGATACTACATTGGTGCAAATTATGTGGGATTTATTGGAGAAAAAGCATGCTCTTTTCAAAGGCACCAGTGACTTATCGATATCGACGTTTTGCCTAATATGTAAACAATAATGTAATCTTTGTTGACAAGGTCAACCAGTGGACTGATCATATGGAGCCTGTCGCTATCACCTCATCTTTCAGTAACCGATGACTGAAGGTTATGCAACACGTTTTCATATGTCTTTATACATAACTTAATAACCAAAAGGACGGCATTTCTAATCGGCATCGTAATTCCAATCAAATCGCACGTGTAGAAGCCTAAATTTTCCCATCCTAAGGCAGAAACCGACAAATATCTTAATCTTTTCAATGGTGTAGGTTCAATCAATGATCAATGTAGGTTCTTTTTCCTCCTAGAGTCGCTATTATGATTGTAGTTATAATATCGAAAGGGTAGAAATAACTGTGCTACGACTACTAAAGGTTGATATCACTGTGTTTGGATGATAGATCACGTTCTTTTCAACGCACGCAAGTATTAGAATCGCTTGAACAGCATGAGGGAACCCATGGAAGACCTTAAAAATATCTAAAGAACAATGAATCTTCTCATCGATTCAATAGTTGCTGCTTGTTGCTAACCCTTCTATGGTGCAAATCCGTTGGCCCTTCGACAAATTTCAAATTTCTTTGCCAACAGGTAGCACAGGAGATTGTAACGGTGCACTCTTGATGAGCTATCGTTCGAAAATGATGCTCAATTCGTCTGCCCTATATGATGCATACTTACTTGTTATTCCATAACTTCGCTGTAGTGACTAAAATTTGTTATACGTAATCGGCTGGTACTTGAAGAGTAAAAAACACTGAAATATATTTCGTAAGCTTTGCAAGCCCTTGCCAAAGGCTGAGTGTAATGTAGTTGAACCTTCCTTTATCAGGCACAAGAGTTAGAAATGTTTTAAAGGCATCTGACAATGTACAAATGTTAACGTGTACTTGGATACCTGGATGGTCCGCTCTCACTGGTTGTGCGGGCCCCAGCATAATCCCCATTTTTTCAGAGATTTGCTGGCTTAGCCATTGTGGTTCCCTGGAATCCCGAGATTAACCTAGCCAAAGTCTGCCCACGGCCGTCACCACCGCAGGCAGTCGCAGCCCTTGTGGATCAGAAGGGGATTTGCCACCATGGGACTAATTTGATACCAGGACGGTGATGGATCGTTGTATTGGTTTACTCTCAGCTAGACTTCCTGATGGAAACGCCGGACTTCTTCTAAGCGTGGGAGACCCGGCCAGGGTGATGAATCCCCTGCTGTACATCACAGCCCGACAGCCATGAACACCTCTCAGCCACTATGAGGCGGTAAACCGTTAGGGGGACATGTTAACGTATGTATAGTATATGAAAAACACGGAAACGATCAATAAAGAACACTGGGAAATCGAGTCATCGAGTCAAAGTAACACGGAACGGTGTTTACGAAGTGGTGTGTGCTGTGTGGACTTTGAGCTGCATGAGTCATAACACATGCGAGTGGCGGAAGGTCAGTCGTCGTCCCGTGAGAACGCCACATAAGACTAGTCGTCATTGCTAATGTGTCAATGAACATAGAGAGTGTTCTCAACTGTTTACCTTCCTTTGCTTATGTTATTTGTATGACCATGGTTGTCCTTCGTACATTTAATGTCTACTTGAAAACCTTTCTCACTTCCTGAGCTTCTTCATTGTTCTTTCGCATGTCACAAAAGCAACTCAAGTGCATTGTAACCTCTTAGATATAATTCACCACATTCCACATTCCATGCACTTTATTAACCAACCGCAATTTGCTCCAATGGTATGCCATCATATTTTGCTCGATTGTTCATCATCACAACAGCGTTTCATGAGTTGAACAGGAATTTTATCTATCCGGGAACCCAGTTAATAGTAAATCAGTGTCAGGAATCGTTGTCGTCCTGGTAAGAAAAACAACCACTTGTTGGCGAGGGACTGAAAGTGGAAGGGTAAGTTCTAACAGAAGCTTGAACATCCACCAGAAGAGAATTTTGACCAACCGGCGAAAAAGCGGTCAAACTCAGTTTGTGTTGGGCGCCTCACGATTCACTGTTATCAGTAGAGACAGACCATTAAATATCCAAGAATAAGTTGCAAATTTAACGTACTAGTATTTCCGTGGTCTTTGTTACTGTTACTTCCAGCTGACTTTACCACTACAACCATTCATGTTACACATCCATCTCGCATTGTAGCCGTGTATCGCTTGCGTTGCGGCCGTGCACCGCTTGCACTGCCACGTCCCAAGCGTGCACCCGCGGTGATCCCAGCGGCTCCTCGGGCGGCTCATTCTCCCTCGCAATGTCTGTCGTTACTTGTTGTGTTCTGCGCTCGTTTCTTTCTCTCCATCCTAGTGCTTTTTTGCTGTTTAGGGCAGCCAGCGGGCATGGTCGTTCCTGACGAGACATTCAAGGCCGTCTTCGCGTAAGTCTCCACTCTTTCTATCTCGGCAGGATTTGGTAATTCTCATTTTACAGATTGTATTGTTTAGCGCGATTGATGAGCATCAGAATGAGTTCGTCGCAGCGCTCAAGGAGGCCGTGGCCATCCCATCGGTTTCCAGCGAACCGGATCGCCGTCCCGATTGTGTGCGAATGGTCACGTGGACCAAGAAGGTCTGAAAAACATTTTAAGTGTTGTAGATTCTACTTATTTTCTGGATGGCAATTTCTTCGATTGCTTTTATATCAGTGGTTTAATTCGTTCCTTATAAGTCACTGTTTTATCACTGTCTGGTTAAAGAATGTTACTGGGTGTCGAATTCTGATGCACAATGGGAGGCTATTCCCCTACTACGGGTACCCAAGCTAAGGACAAGTTCGCCGTTTAGACCTGCAAAGCCAGTTAAGAGTATGACACATATGAACGCTCGTGCTGTGCGTGCTACCCATTCGCCATAATTTGCAAATCGAAAGGAACTTCTGCAGAGATCTCATGATTTATTCGAATTAGTTGACGATTCGCTGTGTTACACAACTTTTTACTTTACAGTCGAATTAAAGGTCTTTCACATGCTACTTTAAGAAATTGGAAGAAATCGGAGCATCCGTTCAAGTTATCGAAGCTGGCAAGCAGAAACTACACAGCGGTGCCGTCATCGATCTGCCTCCAATTCTATTTGGGACACTAGGTAAGTTTAGATAGTCTTTCATAGTGTTTGATTGTGGCACTCATCTAATTCTCTTGTTAATGCCATGGTGAAGCCGTAGTTGGAAAACCGAAGTTTGGAAATTGGTAATTTATTGGAGAAGAGTTTAAAACCAAACTCCCAACGGTTTACTGCCTCATCGTGGCTGGGAGGTGTTCTTGGGTGTCGGACTGCGATGTACAGCTGGGCTATTCGTCCCCACCGCAGGGTCTCCTAAGCTGAGAAGTCTGGCGTTTCCATCAGGAAGCTTAGCTAAGAGTAAACCAATACCAGGATCCACCACCATCTTGGTGTCAAAGTCGCATGGTGGTAAATCTCCCTCTGATCCACAAGGACTGCCTGTCGTGGTGACGATCTGGGTGACGCAGACTTTGGCCAGGCTGTCCTCAGGATTCCAGAGAACCACAATGGCTTAACCAGCAAGTTTCCGAAAAATAGTGATTATGCTGGGGCCCGCACAACTAGTGATAACGGGCTATTCAAGTATCAAGTATTAAGTAAGTAAGAGTTTAAAAAAACATGATGCACCTCCGTAAGTACTGAAAATGTTAGTGGTCAGGGCTTTCAAGGCAAAGATGTCTAATGTTTTTTATATGCAGTTTTTCAAGGAGAGGACAATTTCTAGAACATATTTTAAGCTGTTTTCACTTCATATGGAGTCATACTATGCTACAACACGTATTTCTCAAAACACTTCATGAACAAAAATTTAGGTACCGATGAGAAGAAAAAGACCGTTCTTGTGTACGGTCACCTAGATGTACAGCCAGCTGACAAAATGGTGTGCATTGAACCTTTATCTTCAAGCAGAGTAGCATTTTAATTGGTTGTGAACATATTGTGATTGTTTTGTTTTATGACGGCTGGAAGACTGATCCGTTCGAGCTGGTAGAGAAAGATGGCAAGTTGTTCGGTCGAGGGTCCACTGATGATAAGGTGATGTTTGTGTTTGCAAACACCCTATTTATTAAAGGTAACTCCCCGCATAAATATGGTTCAAATTCGTGAAATAAATGAAAAGCGATGTACATTGAGACTCTGTACATGTGGAAGGGAGTTGATGTTCGATCTCTTTGAGATGGATCTCCTTGTTCTTCTTTCGTGTTTGAGTTCGCATTGGCAGTGAAGTCGTTTACGCATTTGTTTCTAAGTAGAATGTTATAGCCGAATCAGCAGCGTACTATCTTTGTACGAGTAGGGCCTTTTTTCAGGAGACGAATTACGATTGTATATACTTTTATAGGGGCCAGTTATCGCTTGGATCCATGCCATCAGTGTTTTGAAGAAGAAGGGGGTCGATATTCCCGTTAATCTGAAGGTTGTTAGTTTCATCTTCGTTTTAAAATATTAGGCTTTCAGTCTAGCTTTTGCTAGTTGTGAATAGTGTTTGTTTTCTTCTATAAATTTCTACAGTTTGTGTTCGAATGCATGGAAGAGTCTGGTTCTGAGGGTCTTGAGGAAGCCCTCCGTAAACATAAGGACGATTTTCTTAAAAACGTCGATATGACTTGCATTTCGGACAACTACTGGCTTGGAAAGAAAAAGCCTTGCCTCACATATGGTCTGAGGTGAGATGTTTTTCTAGTTGCTCATTCCATAAACTGTCATCATCCTGCAAGAAACGTTCTATTCAACCAGTTTTTGCTTATGAATTTCTAAACGTCGTATACTAAGAATATAAATTTTAAATATATGTGGATTAAGAGAGGAAACAATGTAGTTCCAATGGGGATGTGAAATTCGCGATCACTTTTTTTCCACCATAAAAATCAGTAATGTCTATATATCATCTCACAGTTGAATAGTAGACCGTATCGTTTTTGGCATTGGTTACCAAAATATTTGTGCTGTTCTAGGGGCCTCTGTTACTACTTTGTAGAAGTGAGCTGTGCTAAGCAGGATCTTCATTCGGGATCATACGGTGGAACTGTGTAAGTCTCACTCATTGTTTATTGTTTTACACATTTATGTTCTCGAGTTTTCTCTTTTTGATTGGGTGAGTCTAAACATTGATGTTCCTTTCTTAAGTCCGGAGGCAATGAACGATCTTGTTTGGATTTTGTCGCAGCTCACCGATTTAGACGGCACTATTCGTGTTCCCCACATCTATGATTTGGTTGAACCACTGACTGATGACGAAAAGAAAATCTATGAAGGGATTGAATTCGACCATGAAGAGTATAAGTCAGTTGTTAATCTCAAATTTCACTACACTAACTAGTTCTCTATCACAATGGATCATGTAATCTGATTGCTTTCATATAATGAGATTAACTGATCAATTCACGTTTATCATTTGTCGTTTAAAATATTCATAGGAAAGACATTGCTGCCCATGGTCTCTTAAAGAGCACGAAGGAAGAACTGCTGATGAGTCGCTGGCGTTACCCTTCTCTTTCCATTCATGGTATTGAAGGCGCATTTAGCCAGCCCGGTGCAAAGACGGTTATCCCGAATAAAGTACGATTTACGGATTTGGCGCACTACTATTGATTTTTATTTCATGTCTTTCGCGTTTTCGTTACAAGGAAATTTTTTCTTAGGTGATTGGTAAATTCTCAATCCGAATTGTCCCTAATATGACACCGAAGTCAGTCCATAAACTTGTCATCGCATATTTGAATGATCTGTGGGCGAAGCGTGGTTCACCTAATCACTACAAGTTAGTGTTGATTTATTCTTACTGTTTTCCTTAGCGCAATACCACATGTTTTCACCAATAAATTTAGCGCAGTGGCGCACCATGGTGGAATGCCATGGGTCACTGATGTCAAGCATCTGAATTTTCGTGCTGGTGCACGCGCCATGAAAAGGGGTACGTCTAGCTTCAATAACCTTTCTTAATTTTTCTGCAAAATGGTTTAATATTCTTTCAGTCTTTGATATAGTATGGTGCTAGTATGGTGCCAGCGTTTTGTTACTTTATCTTATGCACATTCATGTAGTGTTTAACCAATGGTGTTTTAGTTTTCGGCGTTGAACCCGACTATACTCGCGAAGGAGGAACTATTCCAATCTGTATTACATTCCAAGTATGTTTGTAAGTTTCCTTGTTAAGGAAAACAAGTTAGTTGTGAGCCAAATTGTTCAGGAGCTCACGGGTAATAATGTCATGCTGCTCCCTATTGGGGCTTGCGACGACATGGCACATTCACAGAATGAGAAGCTTGACCGTTCCAACTTCATCCAGGTTGTCAATAACTAGCTTTTGAATATCATTCTTTTTAATTTCTTTTTTAATTCCCAGGGAACGAAGACTCTTGCTGCCTATCTGCTCGAACTTGCTGAGTGATCTTGGAGCTACATGCTCATTTTTTCCGCAGATTCACTTCATCTTTATTCACTTATAAATTTTTGATAGTAATTGCTTGTTAAAAATCACACCTCTTACTTTTGTAGTCAGACATTTTTGACCGAGTCATACAGCATACTACAGGGTTAATTCAGTGCGTTATTTAACGTCGGTAGGTTTCCATTAAAACGTGCGGTAGGATGATACAAAACGAATTGATGTGGGTCCACTCGTTTACTTTGCCGCACAAAGCTTTTGTCATTTTGCTCTATTTTTTGTGTTCAACCTTTACCTTCTAAAACATTTCCGCCAGACGCAGCCCGAGAGATGCTATTGTTTATTCTAAACTTATCTTTTATGCATATGACTGGTATTTTTAAGTACACATGTATATGCATATACATGTGTATGTATGTACATATATGTATATATGCATGTATATACATACATATTGCGGGAGATAAGGGAATGAAATGGTGGTTTTAGATGAATTGAATGCTATTGTCAGGGATTCCATTCGACCAAATTCTCCTAAAGTGACAATTCTACCCACGAAAACATTTTAATATGAATCGGCTCATATAGCTGAGATTTCATTTGCCTCTAAACTTGCCTTAAACGACGTATTTAAGCAACAAATATGTCGATGTAGGAGAGTTCAACAAGAACGTTTGCAGTGTCGAAAAATTTGGTATAAGAGAAACAAATAAGGAAGAGAACCGTCTTGCTGCCCTCGTGTCTAAAGCATATTTCTTTGGGAATTCTCCGCTTTTATAGAAGAAGGAGAATTGCTGCTGCATATAAAAGTCATCTAACACTAGCACATAAGAAGATCTACCATACAAACAGGAGATGGTGCCTGCTTGACACATTCCGCCATGAGCTGGCAAATAACTGTTGTCGTCGACGAAGATGAAAAGTTATGCTTCATGTAATGCGAACATTCCGAACCATATTCAATCTATATAAAACTTACTGGCAGATTAGGAACCGCCAATTGGAGACTACTATGAGCTGTATGTCGAAGGGATTAAAGCTTCTCCCCAATTCTGGTCAGATCATTAAAGAAGAAGTTTAGATCACATCTCCGTTACCGCTGAATAGTTGCACGAGATGAGGAAACTGAAGTTTGCTCCTAGAACAAGACACTTGAAGCGGCTGATAATAAATACCAGGTGCCGAAGACAGTTTCAAGAGGATCTATATCGGTATAAGTATAAGAAATTGTTAGCAATAGTTCAATAAAGAGTCACTCGAATAAATACCGTCGGAACTTGTGTGAAAGCATAATATTATGCCGTCAGCTCTAATGAATCAAAATGGGATCAATAGCACTTCCCACCATGATATGGAATGGATAGCGGGAACGTTCTACACTCTTCCACAATCCACTTTCCTGGATCTAAAGTCACAGCTGAAGAAAGGCTGCCTAGCCTCCATGCTTCTAAAATATAAAGAACACGAAGAGGATTAGCTCTGGAACCCGATAAATATTACAGGCAACTTCTTTCGAACTAGAAACCATAGATTACATGCACTTTTCGCAACATATGTGACATCTTACCTTAAAAAGGAGAAAGTGCGAGACCAATGGAAGACAAAGCGTTCAGTTATCTTGTCTAAGAAGTGGACCAAATGGATCGTCTTGAATGTCGTCCGATATGCTTAATGAGTGTACTCTACAAGCTCTTCACGAAGATTAGCCTTTTGCGCATATAGAAGTCCGAGGATGGGGTGCAACCAGCTGAGCAGTCAGGTTCCTGACAAGGATTCTGCTGTGTAGGGCACATTCATTCCCTATCGAGAGTCATAAAAGTCGATGGAGAATACCACCTTCCTCATGTCCTAAGCTTTGACGACTTGAAGCGTTTAACAACATCCAACTAGTGCAATACTGTCAGCGCTTGTAGATCAGAGAGTGAATTTGTCATACGTAAGAACTATAGCTGGATTGTCTCCGAAACTGCACAAAGAAAGCACGGCTTTACCATCAATGCCTACCGTACTCATAGAGGAGAGATTTCGACAAAGACCGCCAAAGCTGTTTACTATTGCATTATTGTGCACAATTAATTAATTCACTGTATTGGGACGAGATGGGTATACGAATCGATGGAAAACAGCGATCAAATCTTCGTTTCGCGGATGACTTCGTCATCTTTCGAAGTATCGACAATGAGGAAAGAAGGTCGGACCACCTATAAAACCGAAAGAAACTCTGTTCATAAAAATCTCACGGTACAAATGTGAGCTGATCGAACTAGATGACTGCGTAATTAAATGGACCACCTCATACATATGCCCTCGTCTTTCAATGAACGTGGAAAATGATGTGAAGTAGAAATTGAAGAGAAGAAAGAGAGCAGCATGGGCTCCATCTAAGTCTGTCAAAGAAGATACCAACCAACTAACTGTCTGGAAAATATGTGCTCACCTTTTTGGCGTAAGGTCTCAGCTAGCGGTCTCTTATGCACCTGAGACGTGGGCAGATACTTTGTCACATTCCAGCCCATGTGAACACTATGCTGTCCATAGGGACCTGGACCAAACGACCGTATTGACTTTCAGAATTTGCTTTTATTGGACTATGTGTACTCATTAGATAACTGATATGAAGCAGACCAAAATGTTACGGGTGACATCATGAAAACCATCCTCTACAATTGATGGTTGACGAATAACCTATCTTCGAAAAAGTTCATTGGTCGGTAATCTAACCAACAATTAACTGTTATTCCATTTTAACCACAGTGATAACTGTATGGAGTCTGCTTTTATAAAAAATACCGAAATAGACTCAACATAGACTAGGAAGTATTTCGAAGTTCCGACAGCAATGAATTTGCAATATGGACCATATTAACACATAGTAAATAGAAATATTCATGTCTTTCGTATTCATTGGACGAGAGCACAAAGTCTTCTCTGCAATCCAATAATGTTCAAAGTGCCACAAGTCCTCTGTTTATTAAGGGAGTACTTTTTTAACCGTCAAAAAACCAGAAAATCTGCAGCCGACAAGAAATCGCGCCTAGTCGGGCCACCCACACCATACGGTAACCGGGACGGAATTCGTTGACTGCCTTCTGTGCACCACTCGAACAACACTAGAACAGTGACTTTTAAAACATTGTCGGGCCACACATCATCTTGTCACAATGCGAAGTTGAGATCCTCCATTTCTATCACATCGGTAACAAAGCAAAGGTGGGACCATCATATTTTAGGTCTTCAGAAAGTTAATGTAGAATTTCGACCAGCATTTTCAAAGTGACATATCTAAGCACAGCGTGGTCTTCATTAGTCGAAAAAGAAACCATTCGAGTCCACGCATTTTTAGGAACAAGAAACACTTTGCTTGTACTGGTTGCAAAAATTCTAGACTTCTGCAGGCAGTGATGTCGCTGAAACTAGTTTCGGCCTCAGCTTGGTTTTGAAGCAGTTTTTGTACACGGAGTTGCTGATGTGATGCTTAAAAAGTGGTAGCAGATAGGCGAAAGGTTTGACCAGTACGATGAATGTGAGAGAGTTTCTTTGCTCAGCTCGTTCAACTTTTGCAGCATTGGTTGCACGAGGCGTGGCTGTGCGCTATCGTGAAGAAGAGTTATTCTCTCACTGTTGATCAACGAGGGTCCGTCCTTTAAAGTTTTTGGTACGCTCCTCGAATTGGTAAGCTAACTTTTTCGCCGTAATCGTTTCACCGGGTTTCAGGAAGCTATGTTGAATCAGACCAGTGCTATAGAACTTCATCGTCCAACCACTGACTCCATCGTTACCAGTTCTCACAGTGAATCCATTTCCCGTTGCATATCACAGTACAGTAGAGAAACGAATTGTTTTCTTGGCTTAAAAGAAGCACTGACCACGCCTCAAAGCGGCTATTTCTTTGATTGTAACTATCTTTCTTTAAATGACCCGAAATAGTTGAACTGCTTACAAAGAGTCCTTTTGCAAGTTCTCGAGCAGTTGTGTGTGTTTCAGCTTACGGGAAAGTCGTCAATTCACCGTTGTCTGTAGCAAAAGCACGACCATCATCTACATCATCTTGAAGGTCGACGAATTCGCTGCGATAAGTGATAATTTCCCAGAGCAACATTGCAGCGTGCATTCAATAACACTTGCTTGACTCACTCCCCCCCCCCCCCCCTCCCCCCCTCCCTAATGTTTGCAGCTATTTACGCTTCACACATTGAAGTTTGAAGCAGTAGAAGCAGTTTGTGGAAAATGGTTTTCTAACATCTGAAATTCCAGTCTTTAAACTTTATCGAAAACAGAATTTACCTTATAACTCAGTTATATGGAAGGAAAATGCATGAAGTGAGCTTTGCAATGGATATCATGGTACAACATTCGAAAAAAAGTGTTGCTTAAGCATAGACAGAAAAAATTACAAATCTGGCATTAGTTTCCTTAAGATCTAGCAATGAGAAGAGCAGACAACACTTGGTCTAAAAAGGGTTCGTTACTTAAGAGTCTTATGTATTATACATGTATAACTGTAGCATGGTTGTATAGTATAGTCGGTACCTCCGCAATTGTTGACCGGGAGAGACACGGCTGCTCACAGCTGGGTTTCCGCAGTACAGCCTATTCCCTACTTTTATTCTCATAACATTTTACAATCGTTATTCTTAAACAGATATCTGCTAAGGCTTAAAATTGCTGAAGTTTACAGCTTTTACAGTGCCGTTTGAAATCATTGCATGCAACCTTTGCAGTTAGGTTAACAACGTTAACAACCTTGACCTTAGCAGAATCTAGGGTGGAGTCAAAGTTTTGCAAATATTCCAGCATCGTTGTGGTTGTATCCTGCATATTACCCTGCCGTAAAAAGTTAAACTTTTAATCCTTTTATTTACTGCCCTTTTCTTTTTTAATGGCAGGGTATGTTGCGAAATATAACTCGTATATAATGCTGAGATATTTGCAAAACTTTTGCTTTTTTTTGCAAACTATTTTGCAAATATCTCAGCATTATATACGAGTTATATTTCTATTTTATATATATATATATATATATATATATAGTGATTATAACTAAGCCTCAGCTTAACTGGGTTCAATGCCGACTAGGGCTCCCCAGATCAATCCCGTTGACAGGTGATTGCTGATGACAAAAGATCAATAGAAATAGCTGAGAGACAAGCAACGCGAAGGATCCGGACGGTGTGGTGGTGAAGTGCGCTACTCCCCGGAAAGGACAATAGCGCGCGTTCGTTCCCCACCTCATACACCTGCGATCCGGAGTTGTGCAAATATCTCAACATTATATACGAGTTAAACCTTTTTGTTTCGACTACAGCCTCAGCTTAATTGGATCAAATGCCTATTTGTGCTCCTTAGGTCAGGTCCCTTCGATGGTTGATTATTGCTGTTGGCGCCGTTAGGGTAAAAAACTGGCTGGAAAAAAGCAAAGCAAAGGCCTCAGTGGTGTAGTGGGTAATACATAGGACCAGGGAAAGAGTAATAGCAGGGTGGAATCCGGCCTGAGTTCATGTTTTGCAAATATCTCACATAACATACTGCAGTAAAAAAAGATGAGTTGCTGGAGAATGTCATGAAATGAGCCGTGTAGTGCTTCCAATACTTTTTCATTGCAGAACCAAAATACCACTTCCATTCTGTTATAATTCTAGTTATCCATTCCGCCGCCGGGTGACGTTTTTGCGAAGTCCTTTCCAGTTTATGTTGAATGTCTAATAAGGTGTAAGTTGAAACAATCTATCAACCAAAGAGCCGCTCCTATATGAAGATTACTTAGAGTCACCTTTTTCAATGAACATAGGTTCTTGATTAGTTATATTACAACTTTGCAACTAGAACTTATCCACTCTACAACGTTATTAGTATTGAGGTATATCTGGATATTCAAATGGATGAAGACGTAATTATAAAAAATCGTTGGGCGTTCAAGTACTCTAGAACGGAGTTAAGGATAATGTTGACCAGATTTCGTCAACGGTATTGGGTTTGGTAATAACTGCTATATATACTCAAAAGTAGCCACAAATGTTGCATCTTCAAGTTGCTACAAGTTGTATCCTCATTACCATTGATTATTGACTGTTGCAAGAGTTTAAAAAAACAAAAGCAAAGTTGGTCGACATAAAATTGTGAAGTCGCAGCCGCTCTAGAGGGACGTGAGAAACAGAAAAGTCGAATACAATCCTCGGAAGGCAGTTTAAGCTTTTCAGTGTGAGATACGTAGATATAGTTTACTTCTGTTAGTGTTTCTATTGTGTTCCCAATACCATTAAAGAATTCTTTATGGTTTCAATTTCACTGAAAGATGAAAGATTAAGATAGTAGTAACAACGCAGAATCACAAGCGAATCATCAAATGTGTCGCGTACGAAGTGATGCTTATATGATTGCAGGAGAATATATGACAACTATAATTACGATTGTTGCAGAGCCAGAAATGCGGACCCGTAGATATATAGTTAGGGAGTTGAAACTATACTGAACTGCTCATCAGGTGTTCACATTTTAGGCTTTGTTTCGAACAAGTGTCATATATGTGACCGAGATGACTCCAGTCTATAATCTTTGATGGGTTGTGGCCTTCCAAGAAACTGCTTAAAAAACGCTATCGTGTTGGACCAAACTTTACTTTGACTTGCACCGTGCTGGCTAGGCTCACCACCGTATGCTTGTATTGTACCTAAATACTTTTTTTTAAAATTAAGCTTAAAAAGCACTAGCATTAACGGTTGCTAATGCTATTAAAATTATTAAAACAGGAAAGTTGGAGGGATTTACGTACATTAAAGAGAAAAGGTGAAATTAAGGATGTATATAAATCAAAGAAAAATATAGCCGACCGGCAAGTTTTGAGTAAACTGCCTGATGACAGGGAAAGTAGGGCGGGTCCATGAGGTGTCCACCAGGGACGAAATCCACTTCAACGTAATGGCTAGAATTTCTTAGAGCCTCTTCCAGCAAGCGTGTGCAGAAGACTGTCGGTGTGGAGTAGTCATCTAATGATGTCTAAATGAGTTTGGTGATTAGAGCATCTGCTAGAGCATTTTAGATAAATGTACTACTGTGTGAATTTTGAAGGTGTTAATCACAACGTCGACCATCGCATCATATTTAACGAAAGTCGGCCCGATAGGAAGTTTACGAGTTCACTGTTATTTTAATCCTTGATAAGCTAAGAGAAATAACTCACAACGAAGCGAAAGGCTGTTGTTCGTGGTGCAGTCTCTATTCCTATATCTGCCTCAGGTGTAACACGGAGATTTTCAAAGCATTTGTTACAAAACATGGTTTGATTCACGAAATGTACGAATTCCGACCGCTCCCTAAAGCTGAGTTACTGCATATTGGATGATGGTGGTATGCTAAAAAATTACATGTAAAAAGTACGCATCACTGAACAACTACTTGGTATGTAAAAATGTTTGCTTTTCAATCTTCTGATAAGAAATGAGCGAATGTTCGAGACAGAATTTATCGTGAAATGGAGAAACAGTTGCCAGTGACTGCAAAAATTAGGGACTTGTCTACTGCTAAAACGTTTGCCTTCGTAACGTCCAAACACGTGGATTTAACCCAAAAAATTCTTTCACACCTAATACTATCAAAATAAATTTCGAACACAATCTTCCACTTACTTAACATACGGTAGATATTCACCATGTTCTTTGATTTTCGTAACTTCGGCTAATACATGACCTCCATTAATCGAGCAAACAGCTACTACCTGAAGCCTCTAATTTATAACAAAGGCGGTATATTACACATCTTCTGCTGTCTTCTGTTACACCAAAATGATGAATGCAGTCGTCCCCTAGGACGTTATTTGTGGAATATTGAAATTTTTAGCACACAACTGCCTGAACAATGATCTAGTTTCCAATGATATCACTCCAACAAAGAATTCAAATGTTCCTCATACCTTTGGATTTCTAATGGCAATCAAATGAACCAGTAGTCCTCCGAATGAAACTCCTTGAAGCCCGATTTCACCAGGCACAAATTTTTGAGAAGTCATCCAATTAATTGCATTCTTGAAAACATCAGTTAATTAACAAATGGAAATGCGTTCACTTTATGAAACTATTTCTCAAGAAAGTCCCACGAATAGCACTGCAGATCAACTCCAAATACTAATAAAAATAACAGAATCCACACGAGGTAAAACAGCTCCCAGACGAATTGAAGGCTTTCTTAGTGATCCCTTGTCTTTCACAAGATAACTTGTGCAACTACTTAACAATGTAGTGACGAGTTAATTATGCAAAATTTATTTATGTTACTGCTAACACTCACTGCTGCTCAGTGGTCTCTCATCGTAACCACAGAGTTTGACAAGATATCTTGTTTAACTATTCACCTTTACTGTCCTAAACATGCTCATCTGCTCTAGGAATGCGCTAAACATTTCCACACGAGTGCTCAGATGAGAGGAAAATTATGGAACGGTGGAATACTGCAAGCTACTAATAGTTACTCCCCGTTAAATATGGTATTAATGTTTTTTTTGCCGAAAGTGTGATAATACTAGTGTTTTGGGAAGGAATGAAGCAGGCTGAGCAGCCGCGGTGCACGACGGGACTAAATAGAGTTTCATGATGCCAGGTCGAGTTATGCGATGATTTAAGAGGTTACAGGAAACCAAAGTAGTTGTTGTATATTGCATCTTTGGATGCTAGTGAAACGCAAAGCAAAGAAATCACACTATTTTATCACGATTTTCAAATTTTTTTTTGCCTATTGATTAGATTCTACAATGAAGTTGACGGGTCCTCTCAAGCGACCAATGCACTAATAACTATATATACATATATAAAAGTGGTAGATAGCACAGTGGTAGTGATGCCCGACATCACGAGCATGGTGCCTAGTTCGATTCCTCTCCGAGCCAATTAGGCCCGTCATCCCACCGGGGTCGGGAAATTGGTACCGGACTTATTTGGGAAAAAACACCCTCTACTTTCCAATTGAGAAGGAGCCCGGCCATCTCAAGACTCCCGAAGGAATTGTTCGACCAACATTCTACGACATCCAAGATGGAATGAAAATCCTCAAACAGCAACCGAAGCCACACGTAAAGTTCGAAGATCTTTGTGTACAACGGATGCCAGGGAACCAATTAAATGTGAGAAGTGCTGGGAACTGCACAGTAGACGTGAAGACGGGTTAAAATAAAATGAAATAAGAGTGAAAATAAATATTAATGTATATATGTGCACATATATATATGTATATGTGTATACATATATATGCATATATATATATGTAGACGTATGTATATATACATGTAGTGAAAGCTCTGTTGTTGTGTTATGATTCGTCCACGCGGGTTTTCTTGGTTCGCAGCGAAAGTTTCACTCTATATATATAT